TTGTAGAAATCTTGATAAGTACAGAAAAAATAAGAAAATAAAAATTACTTGTTCCCCACCACCTATACAAAATTACTACAAACATTTCCAGTCTTTTTTCTTTGTATATATTTTAAATAAACACATATTCATACACACTGTTCTTTACAGAACTGAGATCTTACTCTAATATGGTTCTCTATTTTTTTCTACTTATTTTTACTTAATGCTTTATTGTGAAAATCCTTTCATATTCTTAAGAAAAATGTCAAGAACATGACTTTTATGACCATCATGTAGTATTTGGTCATCTGCTTTGTTTGAGGTGACACCTTTAAATTCACAACCAAGCTCTATGCAAAACGGAATAATGAAAAACAAGTCAGCTATATATTAATAACATTAAAAACTTCAAAAAGGAAAATGAAGGCAGTTATCCAAGTGATATGGAAAAAAAAAAGTTTCAGAACAGTTTTCTGACAAAGTCATTCCACTGATTTATTTTTTTAAGCTGTGGCTTCACATAGGAATATCTTTTCACTGTTTCCCAAGGTTTTTGGTATCAATGCTGAAACATTCTAAATTTTTTTAAAAAACCTAAAACATAAATAAATAAATAAATAAAACCTAATACCTGTTTCAACATAAAAGGTAATCTTTAAAACTTTTATTTTTATGAATATAACAAAATAAAATGCCCAGTCTTTTTTTTTCAATTAAGAAATTTCACAGGGCAGTAGAGCATGTGACTCTTGATTTTAGGGTCATGAGTTTGAGCACTATGCTGGGCATGGAACCTACTTAAAACTAAAAAAAAAAAGATTTAAGAAATTTCACAGATGATGACTCAAAAAATCCTTGAGCAGGAGAGAAGGATGAAATCCAGAGTACAAGGGGTGTAGTTCTTTCTGATAGGAGTTCTCTGTTTTCCATTGAAACAAAAAAGATGCAAGAGCAAATGAGCACAGAAATGACCTTCTTAAGTTGAGGCATTCCCTGCAGATGGTTTCCAGTTTCTCAAGTATGATGCAAGTTCACCAGCTGAAAATGGGGACAGGTGGGGGGAAAAGGATGTAAAAGATTTGAGTAGAGAAGCTAAGGTGTGAATGGTCAATCCAGTGAACGAATAGTTTTGCCAGCCAGTATGAAGTGCTCCCATGAGGTCTGAGGTCATGAATTAAAACCAGTCAGCCCTGTCATATGATTTTTCTAGAGCAATCTTTGCTACTTGGATACCAGCAATTGAATGGAAAAGTTTGTTGCAGTAGGGTTCAGTCCAAACAAGACTAAGGTTCTACCTGGAGGTTCCTCCAAGTAAGAAAGATAGAGACATTGGGGTAAGAGAATTGAAAATGTCTGCAAAAGAGCAATTACAAGGATTAATTGAGGAATCTAAGTTGGATGAGTTGTGTTTATGATGTAGAATCATATTAATAGTTTTTTTTTAAGTGTTGGGCCTAATGGATTGGAGGTGTTAATAGTTCAGTGAGAGTGTAATAAATGAGCTGAGGAAAAAGGCTAGTGATTGACAATTGGGATGCTTGAAATTGAGATTTAGAAGGCAAAACAGTTATTGATGACAAGGTTCAAAGTCTCACCACTTGGAGTGGATGGATGATATGGAATAGAGGAACAAGTTGTTGGAGATGAAGAGGTTAAAAATCTAAAAGGCCAAGTGCTGAGGGTCCCTGGCTGGCTCAGTCGGAAGAACGTGACTTTTGATCTCAGGGTTCATGAGTTTGAGCCCCATGTTGGGTGTAGAGAGTACTTAAATAAATAAACTTTTTTTTTTTAAAGATTTTATTTATTTATTTGACAGAGAGAGACACAGCGAGAGAGGGAACACAAGCAGGGGGAGTGGGAGAGGGAGAAGCAGGCTTCCCGCAGAGTGGGGAGCCCCATGCGGGGCTCAATCCCAGGACCCTGGGATCATGACCTGAGCTGAAGGCAGACGCTTAACGACTGAGCCACCCAGGCGCCCCAAATAAATAAACTTTAAAAAAATAAAAATTTAAAAAAATAAAATGATGGTGTTGCATGGGCCATCTATAAGAATGTTAAATTCACAGAGACTATAGACAGGAATGGTGGGGAAACCTAGAGCAAGGAAAAACAACCTATAATATCTGAGGGAGGGTGGCCAGAAAGTTGATAAATGATAAAGATGATAAAGGGTGATTTACCTAGATGATATGAACTTCAAATGTTTCTGAAGGAGGAAAGAGGGCAAATGTTTTGAAGTATTAATCAGGAACAAAGAAGCCACCCAAACTCTGTAGCCCAACCTCTAGGACTTAAGGTACACAGAGTATGAGGGAAAAAATAACTCCTACTTAGGAGCTCTACAGCAGAGTTAAAAGCAAAAATTACCTTCATCACTAAAAATTAATAGTGCTGGGGATATAGCTGGATGCATCTAGGACAATTCCAAGTCTGAATTGGGTAAGTCATGACTTTGTGGATGAAGTAGAAAGGCGATCTCACTGTCTGATAGCTTATGACATCAACCATGTCTCCTGAGAAATGTAGAATCTGCAAGTAACCTCCAGTTGATAGTGTCTAAGGATAGGAAAAGGAGAAACAATTAATGAAAGGGAATGAAAATGTTTTTGCTCAAGGAGTATTCATTTCAAGGATCTAGAATGCAGTTCTTTGTGAATTATATTATCTTTACTGTTGGCCTGTAGGGCATAGTACTTGTCTATTTATTTTAAAGATTTCATTTATTTATTTGAGAAAGGGAGAGCGGGGATAGGGAGAAGCAGAGAGAGAGGGACAAGCAGACTCCATGCTGAGCTCAGAGCCCCACATGGGGCTCAATCTCACGACCCTGAGATCGTGACCTGAGCTGAAATCAGAAGTTGGACGCTTAACCAACTGAGCCACACAGGTGCCCCATACTGTGTCTATTTAAAACAACTTGCAAAAACAAGCGAACACCTTGCAAACTCAACAGGTGATTTTTTTTAGCGTGTGGTTAAAAAATAGGATGAAGTATTGCCTTTAAAAATTAAACGGCCTGGAAAATGGAAAAATACCTGGTGCAAGGGCCCTTTCAAAAGTCATTGCACTATCCTTGGGTGATTCTGTGACTTCATCATTGTATTCTACTCACATCAAATTTAGGTAGAATATTATCCTCAGGTATCAGTGATGCCTCCTTCTTTAAGGATCCATTTCAGGGACCAGGCTGCTCAGGTTACCTCAGACCATAGGGCAGCTGTCAGAGCCCGGAGACCCTTCTATGTACCCAACCTGGTCAGATCATATATAGTCCTGGTAACTCTGACCCTTTTCAGATACAGCAGCAAAACCTACCTCTTAAAAACTGTTAGTACAATCAGGCCGGAGCCAAATTCTTCAACTTGCTAATTCAAATAGGGTAGCATAGACCTATCAACTGTGTTCTTGCCAAGATTATGCAGACTGGGACTATCCCACATGCATTAATTACATTTGTGGTGCAAAATAATGGTCCTTTGCCTCTCAGCTCAGTTACCCCTATGAAGATAAAAGCAATTGCCTATGTGCCCAGGGAAGCTGTGGGGAGAAAAATGAGGTAACTTTCACAAGGCATCCTAAAAATGTACAAAACAATTTGCTACTTAAAGTACAATTTTTAATTTGCATTACTAGCTTATTACTATTGCTTAAATATATGTAATACGGAGAGTTTTAGAAAATAATTTAAATATAAAATTGCCCCTAGGAAAAGAATCCATCGTTAAATAGTGTCTCCTCAATTCGAACAAAATAAAATGACTTAACTCATAGGGAACATTTTTAGTGAAGGCATTTTTTAAAAATTTCCTCAAACAACCATGCAGAAATCAGATAAACATTTTTAAAAAAATTTAAGCAGCTTATAAAAGTTTGGAGGTCAGAATTTTGGGGAAATGATTAAAGTACCCTAAATGCAAGGTCAGTTTCTTTTCTTTCTTGGAGGAAAGCTTCTTGGAACATATATATATATATATATATATATACATTCGTTAAGAAACACAAATATTTGTCATCAGTGTTGTTTTCAGGAAGACGTTTTAATCATTACATTTCTGAGACTTTTTTTTTTATTCTTATGTTAATCCCCATACATTTCTGAGACTTTTTAATTTGGATCAGTAATATAGGTTTGATTAGGGTTCCCAGCCTGATTATAGGTCACCAGTCTATTCTGATTGAAATGTAGGTATGCACCATCTCAGTTATCTTAAGTTGCCCATTAAGGCATTACTAAACGTTTTGCTTCATCCTGTTGTACTACTAAACATTAGATTTGATTAAGTTATGGTAAGATACTTATGTAAGACTAACCCAGAGATGCTCTCAACGAAAATGCAGTTGTGCCCCAATGTTCAAAATGAAATAATTCAGAAACGTTCCAACCTGTAGGGTAAGAAACGAATGGAATATCTGACGATACAATTTTGTCACAAATTCAGGGGCCTTTTAAAGTGCCCAGTAGTCGAGGTCTGGCTTTTCCTGAATTTCAGGAACAAAAGAAGCGTTCACAAGGAGAGAGGGATTTAACTGCTTGCTCTCCCCCTTTCCACCCCCCAGGTAAACCAAATCAAGGAAGATGAGCGCCGACAGGCACGCCTTGCTCCTTTTCTTTCCCTTCATGGTGGGCGTTTGGGGAAGGAAAGGCTGTGGTCACTCTTCGGTAAATCAGTGTCCTACGATTTAGAAAGGCCCAGACCAGGGTCCTCGCAGCAGGCGTGAAATTCGACCCGTTCGAAGGCGATCGACCCCAGAAAGGAAAGCTTCTTCTCAAGCAGGGCGCGGGGGAAAGGAAACCGCACACACAAGTAGTACGATTTGTCCCTTATCAGCGTCTTAGAGGAAGGGTGGAGAAAAGGGAAACAGAAACGGACCAGTCGCCCAGGATCCCGCCCGAGCGGCTTTTAAACTGCGTTTCTACAACCTCTCGCACGGTGCAGTGGCTAATGGAACCCGCGCGAGGGCTCCTACCAATCACCGCCCGGCTTCCTCCCACCGCGGACCAATGGCGGCGCGCGTTCTTGGGGCATGGGCGAAATAGGCTGTTCTCTCCTTGCTTGTGTAGTGTGTGGGCTGGGGTTGGTGGAGGCTCCTATTTTGGCCGCACTTGGTCTGCACTTGTGCTTGGAGGGCTTTTGTGTCCGGTTTTTGCTTTGCTTTGTGTGTGCGAGTTTTTGCTTTGCTCCGCGGCATTCCTCCCGGGCGGGAGCCGTGAGGCTCGAAGGCGGCAGCGCGGTCCCCCCCCCCCCCCCAGGCAAAGAGCGAGCGCGCCGGCGTGAGCTGCGGGTGTGAGGTCTGCGGGGAAGGGGATTCGCCGCGGAGATGCCGGAGTTCCTGGAAGACCCCTCGGTCCTGACGAAGGAGAAGTTGAAGAGTGAGTTGGTCGCCAACAATGTGACGCTCCCGATCGGGGAGCAGCGCAAAGACGTATACGTGCAGCTCTACCTGCAGCACCTCACGGCGCGCAACCGGCCGCCGCTTGCCGCCGGTGCCAACAGCAAGGGGCCTCCGGACTTCTCCAGCGACGAGGAGCGCGAGCCCACCCCGGTCCTTGGCTCCGGGGCCGCCGTCTCAGGCCGCAGCCGAGCCGCAGTCGGCAGGGTAAGGACGCCCGGCCGGGACCACAAAGGCGGGCGGTTGGCGGTTGTCGCCCCTACTCCCCCGCCCCGCGCGCGCTCGCAGCCCTTCCTCCTTGGCGCCCCCTCGGGCCTCCTCGGCAGCGGGGCTGTCCCCGCGCGGGACCGGGAGGCTGGCCTGTGGGTCTGCGGACGCAGGATTCGGCTCCTTCGCCGCGGGCTTGCAGGCTCTGGAAAGGGAGGCCGCTGGAGGGGAGAGTCGCGAAGTTGGGGCCGCGGACTAGCGGTTGTGTGTCTGGAAGGTGTGAAGTTGGCGTTTGCCCTTCTGTGGCTCGCGGATAGCTCGGTGTTCCTTGACCGTCGGGAGTGGGTATTTCGACGGGGACTTCCGTGCCCGATTCGGAAAGCCTTTTGAGGAGGGTCAGCCTGAAACTGCAGTAGGTTACGTTTGAGCGTTTTCCCGCTTTATTAACTGAAATGACTAGTAATCGAGTCTCAGAGCGCTCCCTGGAGGGCAATTTGTGACATACTAATTTCTAACCAAAATTTGAAATAAAGAAGTTCCCGCCTTTTTATGGTTTTGCATATGGAGGGCTTTTTGAACCGTTTGTTTCTCTTGTTTAAGTTTTCCAGCAACAAGCCATCTTTTGGCGGGGCAGTGTTCTAATTTAAAGTGAGCCCTTAAAAATAACATCTTTAAGCGGTTATCCTATACGCTCAAATGTTTGGAAATTGTAGTTACTGAGGGCTTGGGTTTTTGTATTTTTTTTTTTTCCTTTTTGGTAAATTTTGCATAAGAAAAGGAAAGATTTCGGAACTCATTTCTTGACATTCTGACGTATCAATGATTGCAATTTGGAATATCTAATCCTAGTTAAATCTCAGATTGGTTCTACCAGATGCGTATTCTGTTTGAGAATAGTTTTTGTTCTGTGGGTTTTTATATGCTGTTTTGTTGGCGTCAACTGCCTACTCAGATTTCAAATCATGACAGACTGTAGTTAAAACTAGTGATTGGATGTAATATACGTTGCTTTGTAAGACTTTATGGAGTTTAGAGTTGTTGAGTTTTGGTAACTCAAAAGTACTGCGTCTTTCAAAGTTGTGTTGTCAGTTTTTAAGAAATCTATCTGATGTGTTTTTCTAGACTACCAGGTGGAAATGAAAGAAAGATGTAATGTAGATTTAACTGAAAATCTTAGCCTGAGCTTTAGAGAAATTCAGAATCTTAATGTCTTAAGTCAGTGCTTGGCAAATAGGAGTGTCAAATATTTGTGTGTTAAATACCAACTGCACTTTATTGCTTCTGATGTCTTTGTGGATTTGAAGAAAGCCAATTTACTTCTCCATAATAAAGAGAAGTTTAAGAGATTTCTTAAAATAAAGAGAAAGTAAAGCATCCGTTATCTGCTTTTTCCCAACCCCTATGGAAAAAATAAACTATTTTAGTAAAGATTTTTGGTGGGAATGAAATCTTTTCCATTTAAATCAGCACACTTAAAAAATAAGAGAGTCTTCTGTAGAACCCTATATTGTCTTCTGTGTAAATGTATTATTCTTGAGCCATGGAACTACTTGGTTGTGTTTGTAATAGGATTGGTCATTCTTACTTATTTTTATGATTCGTTTTCAACAGAAACCTCCACCTTGGTTTTGATGTTTTTCCTTCAGGAAATTTTTTAAAGACTATGTCCCAACTAATATAACATTGTATGTTAACTATACTTCAATTTAAAAAAAAAAAGTATGTCACAATCTACTCTGTGTTCTTGGAGGTGTAAAAATTTCAGTTCAGTTATCCAACATTTTTGAATTCTACCAAGTGCTGGTAACTACTGGAGATTGATTTCTGCAGACCCTGTCCAATACCATAATTATATAATTTGTTGGATTTTTTTGTATGTTAATTGATCGTGTTTATTACACATTTCATATCAAATTTCCCATGTTATCAAAGTTGGTCAGCACCACACAAATAAGTTTGGGTGAAAGGAATTAATATTTTAAGAGAATCTACAATGTCCAGTGGCATGTTAAGCCCTTTATATCTCATTTAATGTTTTAATCCATATTAAGAAAAACTATTTGATAGCCATAGATTCAAGTCTTACCTGCCTTGAATTTTTAAAACTCAAATGCCAGGCTCAATGGTGTCAACAATTTGAAAAAATTAATAGTGGTAGTTGGGCACGGAAGCATCATTTTCTGTTTTAAAGCACATTAAGTAAAAGTGACTTATAATTGAATTTAGGAATATGATAGACTTTGTCAGGCATAGGAAAAATAATCTTGAATTTACAGGAAAAGAGCCTTAGGGCATTTATAATAATCGATAAAATTATTCTCCATGGCACATTACTCTTATGTGTACAGTATTTTATATTGTGGCCATTGTTAGCACCATATGTAAAATAATGTCACATTTCTTAAAGAATATAATCTAGCAGAAAGTCAAATTATGTTTGAGAGTTGTAGATAAGGCAGATTTTTTTAAGTGGTATGTTTTTAGCATTTTAAAACAAACATTACTGTGGATTGGCCAAGGACGGAGCATATACCTTCTATTTAAACATGAGTTTATGAGGAGTATTTTTTTTTTTTAAAGATTTATTTATTTATTTGAGAGAGCGAGAATGAGAGAGAGTACATGAGAGGGGGGAGGGTCAGAGGGAGAAGCAGGCTCTGCGGAACTCGATCCCGGGACTCCAGGATCATGACCCGAGCCGAAGGCAGTTGCCTAACCAACTGAGCCACCCAGGCGCCCTATGAGGAGTATTTTTAATTAAAGGAGAAACTTTCCATTTAGCCATGGCCACGGTCTCTTAGATTCTTTTGGTGTGATATGACAAAAATACTTGCATGTTCAAAATTTGGTTTTGGTTTTCAGTTTTCTTGTTTCTAAGCTTTTATTTAATGCATCTTGATAACACCAGTGTTTTAGGTGTTGAAATTACCTAGATTGTTGACACAAAAATAAACAATCACAAAGTTGGCAATCTGCCTAATCATTCCAAGGTACAAAGCACAGGTGTAGCTATTTGGAATCCAATGGAGCATACCATTCTTGAATGGTCTGATCTAGTGGATCATGAATTTTTAACAGCAAATATTTAAAGACATGGAACAGAACAGTAAAAAGTGTGTTAGCGATGGTGAGTTAATTAAATCATAAATTGACTGCCATACTCTACAGTAAGGTGTTAAGTGTAGAGACTTTTGAATCACAGTGTTCTACAGTAGGGATTAAAATTCCAAGCCTGCCGCTTATTCGTTTATTCGGATGACTTTGAACAATGAACATTGTCTGTCAGATGCTCAGTTTTCATCTGGAAAATAAGAATAATCTAGTAACGACTTAATTGAGGATTATTAAAGGTTGCATTTGTTAAGGTGTCTAGTGCTCAGCAGTTGATACCTATTACAACATGTGATTTCTGAATTTTTTTTTTGTTTATTTAGCTCCAGAGCAATACAATGTTACCATAATATTTTTTTCAGAATTGGATGAGGTAAGTTTTGAAAGTGATACAGGCATAAAGTCTGTTCAAATGTTACTGTATTGCTGGAGTTAGCTGTGCAACTTTGGTCTTCAGTTTCCTCTCCTAAAATAGGGTTGTTAGTATCTCTCTCATAGGATTTTTAGGATTCTGTTAGGTTAATACATGTAGGAAGTTATCCAGAACACAACTTGATATATACTAAGTGCTCAGTAGAATCTATTTTATATTAATTATTGTTGTACTTCATCTTGCTACTAGTGGTGGAAATTTAAAAATAAGAGTAGCTGGGGCGCCTGGCTGGCTCAGTCAGTAGAGCATGCAACTCAAATCTCAGGGTTGTGAGTTTAAGCCCTACGTTGGTCGTTGGTCGTGGAACCTACTTAAAGTTTTAAAAAGTAATAAAATAAATAATAGTAGCTTAGGTGATATTATCAAAGAACTGTTGGATTTTAAAGTTGAAAAAGACATTAGAGATCATCTGGTAGTTGGGAAGGAAACTGGAGAGCGAACAGTGCCTGGCACATAGTAGGTACCTGGTATTTTTTGACCGAATGAAACTAAGATCCTTTGATTTACTCAGAGGAATGAAACTCTGGATGCAGAAATCAGTACAAGTAATGGTTCCTTCTTCCTGATTGAAACTGCTGGCTTGATAATTATGGTAAGACACTATCTGTCTCCCAGTTTGTATTCCTGTTAAATTTAATATTTCATAAAAATAGCATTACATTTCTGGAACTTTTCTCCCTGCAAATTAAAGATAAAAATCAGGTAACTTGTTATGAATTTCTGCTTTATTTGACTTAAGCTAGTTTATTGGCCTCTTAGATTTCTCTGTACAGCTGTAATCTTTCATTAAGTTTTAAGAAAATATAAGACTGTTGGGTTCCTCTTTGATTTGATAAGACTTTGTTATTTCTTTTTTTTAAATATTATTATTTATTTATTTGAGAGAGAGAGAGCGAGGATGGGCAGAGGGAGAGCATCTGAAGCAGACAATCTACTGAACATGGAGCTGATGCTGGGCTCCATCCCATAACCCTTGAGATCATGACCTGAGCCGAAATCAAGAGTCAGACAGACGCTTAACCCACTGAGCCACCCAGGCACCCCAAGCCTTTTGTTATTTCTTAATAAGAAATGGGTTTTTAAAAATTAATGACTTATTTCTTCCTCCCTAGATGGCACTTTCATTCATTCACTCAACAAAACATCTGTCAGATACCTACTCTTGTGTCAGGCAGTCTTTTTTTAATTTTAGATGCTTGGGATACAATATGAATATGACAGTGCCTCTTCTTTCTGCTACTATCTCAAATGCTGCATCCAAAACACCTGAGATACACGTTAAAATACAGATTCTCAGGCCCAAGATTAGGACTCAGACTGGGGTAAGACTTTTTAAAATAGGGGTTAACTTTTCCAAAAGTTTTGAAGTTCTGATAACCAGACTTAGGGACGGTTGCTCAAGGAATTCACCATCTGGAGAAGAAAAAGTATGTTTACAAATAGGTGGAATGTGGTGAGTGCCAAAGAAAGAGATTTCTTGAAAACCTCAGGCTGTTGTAAGAAATTAAAATTGGATGTTTTCTTGATAATAAGATTTGAAAATTCTTAGGGTGGGAGGGATTATCTACCAGTAATCTGTACTTGATTGATTTTCTTTTATTTAAAGTATTTATGTTACACAGGGGAGTTTTTCTTCCCAACCTTTTGGAAAATTCAATTAGGTCATTAACACAGGATTTGGTCTATTTGATGAAAAAAGAAGTTTTTTCTCTAAAGAATTCAAGGCTATGCTATATAGAACTCTTAGACTCTTGGTAACTATTTTGACATTACTGTGTAAGTTGCTTAAAGATTTGAGCCTGATCCTTTTTCAGTGCAATATGTGTATTAAAGCCTTCTGAAAGTACCCTCACTAACTTCCATTTCCATTTTTTAGTTATATTAAAGATTTCTCTTGAATTGATGTCATTGTTCTTATTAGCAGTTATCTTTAAAAAACAATTTCTCATAATCTTGCTTTATATAAAATATTTCAAATTTTTATTTGGCAAAAAAATAGAAATTCTAACACATGGCCAAATCATGTCTGATATTTCTTTTTCCCCCCCTCAGAATCATTGAAAGTAAGCAGTCCATACAATTATGGTTTTCACCATTTTGCATAAGATATTTCTAGGATTCAGTATTGACTCACTTGCCTTAAATAGTAATTTGGGCCTAAATTGACTTTGATATTTGTGGCCATTATTTAAACAGCCATTTTTTTGTTCAGTTCTCTGATGCTTTCTGGGGTTACAGAGGCATTTTGTAAGGCTATCTGCCACATCCCTAGAAAGTACCCATACTTCTGCTCTCTTCTCTTGCTTAGCCTTGGAAGTTTATATAGTTTAGATAGTTTTTCAAGTAAATACTGCCATTGCTTTAGTTATTTTTTTAAAAAATTCCTTTGAAATTTCTCTCAAAGCTTGTTCCATGTTCTTTTACTTTTCCTAAGAAAATGGCCACATAGAACTAAGTGTGGTGACAAAGCTGTGTCAAGAGGTGATAGCCATAAAGTTTGACTTCTTTCATGGGTCAAAAACTGGCCACTAAAGTCACTGTATTCATTTGGGCTTCTTAAATTCTGATATGCTTGTTTAAGGAAGTCATTTTTAAATATAACTAATATCTTTATGGTATAGTCTTAAACTTTCATAGAATAAACTTTTAAGGATTTTTAAAAGAGGTCAGTAGTAAATCGTATTTCTGAATGTCCGGGTGAAAATGTTTAATCCCACTCTGTTTACTCTTGAATTTTTTATGCCATCACCTCTTCTTTAGATAGGCTGGCCAAAACTGACCATTTTAATGGTAATATCTTTAAAATATGAGTTACTTGTTTAATATCTTCAAATAATGAGTTGCTTTTAATTAAATTGCTAAGGCCTAATAAAGCTATAAATCGACGGAGGGTGAGTTTGCATGTTTATTGTATACAGTGTTATATAGTAGGTCAACATTTTTTAACTGGAAATAATAACTGGACTTTGTTAACAGAAAGCCACAAAGAAAACTGATAAACCCAGACTAGAAGATAAAGATGATCTAGATGTAACAGAGCTCACTAATGAAGATCTTCTGGATCAGCTTGTGAAATACGGAGTGAATCCTGGTCCTATTGTGGGTAAGTTGGTAAAATTTCCTTTTCTGTGAGTGCCCCACATTGTTTTCTTGTCTTGTCTAGCAGTTAGAGTTTGGGTTCTAAGGAACAGTGTATCATTAATTATTTATATGACCCGGACACAGTTTCCTTAACTATAAATGAGGAAAATGAGAGAAATGAATTTAGATAATCTCCAAGATTATCTCTGTTGTTGAAATTGTTTCATATGGTGCTCATGTCACAACTACCTGGTGAGACATAGGGATCTTACATGACAATTGAGGAAAATCTGAGGTGACATAGTTGGCCAAATTCATCCAAGTCAGTAAATTGGTGACAGACTTATTAATATAACTCAAGTTAATCAGTTCATAGCATAGTACCCATTTTCAGTTATCAGTAAAAGTACCGTTTTTAAAGTCTTGTTTTGATTGGAAATCAAGAATGATCCCTTAATAAACTAAAAGAAGAAAACTTGGTACTAAATACACTGGATTTCCATCATTTGGTTACTGTCGGTGATTTTTGCCTTAATTTTGGAGGGTCTTGACAAGTAACCTCAAGATGAGAAACGTCTGTTTTGGTCTTCTAAGTTATGTAAAAATTTTGAACACTGGGCAAATCATAAGAGGCTTAACCATAGGAAACAAACTGAGGGTTGCTGGAAGAGAGGGGGGTGGGGGGAATGGGGTAACTGGGTGAGGGGCATTAAGGAGGGCACGTAATATAATGAGCACTGGGTGTTATACGCAACTGATGAATCACTGTTAACTCTACCTCTGAAACTAATAATACACTATATGTTAATTGATTGAATTTAAATAAAATAAAATTTTAAAAAATTTGAACACTGGAGATTTGGGATTTTTTTTTCCCTATAGGTGAAGTTGCAAACAAAAATTTAGAATGTTGTCTTTCATTTTATTTAGCACGCTACTTCCAAATAGCTGGTAATAAGCCTATGAATATAATTACCAACACACATTTGATACCCTTTTTAATTTTTCATTTAAAATTCCAAAAGGGAGATGCTGCAAAAATGTATATTATATATCAGTATATATCAAGTTACATGTTAGCATACCAGCGGTTCATTTTTTCCCAGCTTTTTTGAGGTATAATTGACAAGTTATATATATTTAGTGTGTATAACTTGATATTTTTGTATTATATATTGTGACGTGATCACCGTGATCAAGCCAATTAATATATCCATCACTTCACAGTTTTATTTTGTGTATGAATGTGTGATGAGAGAGCACTTAAGGTCTACTTTTGCAGATTTCAAGTATATTAACTATAGGCCATTATATATGTTAGATTTCTAGAACTTATTCATCTTACAGAAATTTTGTACCCTTTGAGCAACATCTTCCATTTCCCCCTCCCTAGCTGTTCATCTTACAACTACTTATATAACATTTTGAGATGTGTTGTTTCTAAAAAATGTATATTTATTATCATTTTATTCATCTTATAGAAACCAGGGAGATATACAGCTAGTCTAAAATAGAAAATAAAAGCTATTTTTGGTGGGTTTTTTTGGGTTTTGTTTTTTTTTTTTT